GGTGTAACCTCCATCCACCATTCCTAGTTTTAGAGATCAGTGTCCTGACTGTGTTCATCTTTGTCACTGGCGCAAATGTCTAATCATACTCAATGTCATATGTCTAACTATATACTTTCGCAACCAATAGTGTTTTGTAGTGATTAATCTTTCCATTTGAGTTTTTCTTCACTATGAAGACTCATTTCCACCCTTTTTTTTTCTTGCTGGTAGCAACAAGGGCTCCCATGTCCTGTTCTTATCAAGAGCACCGAGTTCCTTTAGCATTGTAGCCTTCCACTTTGGATCCTCCTTAGCTAGTGTTTTGTAGTGATTAATCTTTCCATATGAGTTTTGCTTCACTATGAAGACCCATTTCCACCCTATTTTTTTCTTGCTGGTAGCAACACGGGCTCCCATGTCCTGTTCTTATCAAGAGCACCGCCTTCCACTTTGGATCCTCCTTAGCTACCTGCCCACACTTGGGTATAGAGAAGTGTCCAAAGATGCAATGAATGCTCCATGTAAAGGAAGTATGTTAAATTATGAAACAAACTGGGCAATGTCATGCAATTAATTAAAAAGTTCAAGAGAATAACTATCAGAAGAATAACCTACACTTCTGCGAGAGGTCCTCCTTAAATTCATGGGAGTGGGAAGATAAGAGAGAAATCATACCACCTGTAGAGTTAGGGTAGACCAGAATAAGGGATTGGTTGGCACGAGTGACACGACATGCATTGTTACTTCATTGTCTTTTTCTCCTTGTATACACCCTCAGCTCCCTTTGAGCTTGAGTCTCACCACCTTTGAGCTCATTTTCTTAATTTTCCGACTCTTCCTCAGTCAATCCTTCCCAAACAACGGGAGAATGCGTTGTTCTCACCTGTACTAATCTCTCACCATCATTACTCTCCCCCCCCCTCTCACCTCATACCTCCATTATCAGACGAGTCACCAAAAAGTGAGGTCACCTCCAAGGTGTAGTATGGTTCAAATTCTCTAAAGGTCACATCCATACTCACAAACATTTTATTCTCTATTAGGCTCCAACAAATATACTCTATCTGAGTGACAGAATAACCCACAAAAATATAATTCACAGCTCTGGGATCCAGCTTCCCTATTGATGGTCTATAATCCTTTTCACAAAACATACACCAACAAATGCATTCAATGGAAAGATCCGGTCATTACCTACTTTCAACAAGTCACAAGGAAATCGCCACTCCAATACTCCCCACATGTGCTTTGGGACATTCATCAAGATCATGCTTCTGGCTACCTCTAGGTTTCTATTCCTCCTCTCTGCTACTTCGTTTTGTGTCAGTGTGTATGGATAAGTGGTTTCATGTTATATCCCTTGGGCTGACAGATACTCCCTAAACGTCTTGTTGGTATACTTTGTCCTGTTATAAGACCACAATAGCTTCATTGTTGCATTGTATTGAGTCTGAATCGCCCTGTGAAAGCCTTTAAAGCAAGCAAGCAAGCATATCATTTTTATTTCTCATCAGATATAACCAAGTAACACGACAAAAACAATAAATAAAAGTCACAAAATATCAATAGTTATTCATCAAAGTTATAGAATAAAGTTCTCATACATCTGAGCATACCAAATCAAAAACAAAAGAACTCTTACCATAATGAACAAAAGAGCTCCTAGTGTGCTTACCCAACTCAGAGGCATCACACAAGTTTCTATTCATTTTTCTTTTCATACAAAGACATATATAAATGACTCGACAGACTAAATGAAGAGTGTCTCATGTGTCTGTGATGTAGCAGCAACACATTCTCCACACTACTCTCAGATCCTCCTTCAGTACTCTCTACCATTGATGTTAAGGCTAAGTTCATCCCCTCTTTATCAATGTACCAGAGTCCACTATGTCATATGTCAGTCTCAAGTCTTTGGTCAGGCTCCTCCTGAAAGATCACCTTAGGAATATTAAATAAAACAATAAGTTTTAGTTGAAGCATAATGGCGCTAATAAATAAAAAGATTCACTGAAAAGGAAGGTGCATGCAGAACATTGGAAATAGTCATAGAATTGGTACATCTCATTGTACCCTTACCAATCACAGGCTGTGTTGTACTATCAGCGATCTACATGCCCTCTGGAACTATTAGGTAAGTATATGAAGAGAACTCACTAGTAGTGCCTATCACATGTCTAGACGCACTAGAATCTACTATCAATTATGGTAATTTTGCAGTGGATATAGAGGCAAGAGCATGTATATCACGAGTACATTTAGATAAGTGGGCATAAGTAACAGTATTCCCCTTGGATGAAGATAAGTTGGATGCATCATCAATCACATCACTTGTTGCACTCCGCTTCCACTTCAGCATCTCTAAGAGTTCATAATCTTCATCGGATCCGTCTCTCCCTCGTTCCCTGCTACCATCTGATTCACCTAGTGGCCCCTCTTTCACCCCTTTGGCCCCCACGATTATGAACACAACCTCTAGACTCTCCAGGTCCACCTGTCTCTTTTTCCTTAGGTGGCTTTCGACAAGCTTTGCTCATGTGTCCCACTTCTCCACAATTGTAGCATCTACGGGTCTCGACCTAGGCATTTATCATTCTTAAGCTCGAGGTAGCCAAAGCAGATCATAAACAAGAAGTCCACTCGACTCAGAGTGTAGCCTCATGCGACTCTCCTCCTGCAACATCTTGGCAATGGCCTCATCCGGTGAAGGAATCGTTGTCTGGGCTAAGAGCACTGGTCTGCTCTAATCAAAGGTCGGGTTCAAATGAGCCAGAAATTGCATAATCTTCAGCTTTGCAAAGATCTCCCCTTTATTGCACCCTGGATCACCACAACTTGACGTAGGTGAGAAGTGATCACGATCTTGTCACAACCGCTCCAGTTCTATAAAGTGCTCCTGAATCAATCTATCACCCTGTACCACTTTCCCCATGCCACACTGAATCTGGAACACCCTCATGTAGTTCTTAGTCCCAGCATAGGTTCACTTCAACTTTGCCCAGATGTCATTCATCTTTCGAATGTCATACACTGATGTGGCAATCAGTGGAACCATCGAGTTTAGTAGCCAAGTGTAAATCAATGAATGTGTGACATCCACTCATCCACCTAAGCAATGTCACTCTTTGACTCGACTCCCATCAGGTATCCTTCTAGTCTCTTCCCTTCTAGAACAGCATTGATCTGACGCGACCAACTCAAATGCATGGTCGATCCATCAAGTTTTAGATCTGCGAGAATGAGATTTAATTTCACCTGCGTCAGAGCACGTGCTGAGGTAATGGCACCTATCGAGATGCTAGATCCCTATATGAGCCTAAAAAAGATCTATCTTTCCCAGAAGATCCAATCATTTACTTCCAATATTATCTGTATCCTGACATCCATACTCTCAAGAATAAATCTACAGCACACAGAATGCACACAGACTTCCTTCCTGACTCCCGAACCCCAATTCCTTGAGAAGGCAACCATGAGACTGCTGCACACGAAATACCACAAAAAACGAAGCCCTGTTCGGTCCTTCCTCTCTCAACAAAATTTTGCAAAAGCCCTTCGTGATAGAACCATAGGAGAAGCTTTGTTCCTTCCGAGAAAGTCGCAATCAGAGCTACTGGGAAATCCTTCTGTCGTGATCCCGTCTGCGGCGAGCTATCTTGTCTGTCGCGATCCCGCATGTCGCCAGCAATCTTGTCTACCGCAATCCCGTTTGTGCCTTCCTACTGAGCGGTAATCCCCTTTTTGCCTTCCTAGCGAGCTCTATCGCGGCTGCTTCATGAAGGAAAGGAAGATCAATTTGCATCAACGACGAGGTCGGGTGGCTACTAGAGTTAGGGCTCCGATACCATCAAGAATTAATTTCTCTAAAAAACTTACCCATTTCATTTTAATGCATGTGGCTTATATAGAGGCTTACAACATTTACAAATAAACCCCTAAACCTAAACATCTCCTATTTATAAATAGGACCTTAAATTAGATACAAATCTCAACAAAACCAAAGACACTTGAAACAGAAAACAACAATAGACATGACACAGATGCCCCAAGGGGTTGATCCAAGGGTGGTGGTGGTTGGTTAAGTGGAGTGGATGGTGTAATAAAGGCCAAAATGGTGGTAGGAGTGTCAATAGGTGGTAATAACAACAACATGGGCATGGCAGCAAGCCCGGGCGGCTGGACAGCGGAATCACAACGATAAAACAGGTAGTTACTGTTTGGAGGTGATAGCAAGGTTGGCGCAGGTTTGGGAGGCAACGACAGTGCAAAGAAAAGGAAGGAGGGTTGATTTTGGAAGGCGGCAGCTGGTTCGCAGAAAGCTGGTAGGTAGATTCATTGGCGGTTGGATGGCAGGCAGCAGTAAGGTGAAAGGTGGCTGGGAAGGTTGCAGTAAGGCGTGGGGGCTGCAGGAACAACACAGGCCCTGCTCTTCTAGGCAGCTGCAATAGGCACGGCCATAGCAGCAGCGAAGGGAAGGTTGGGGAGAAAGGGAAAGTCGACGATGGTCACTGCCTCAAAATAAGATACAGCCAGAGCACCACTTGCCTTTAGACACAACCCTATAAGAGGAAACCGGAGATACTGACTGTTGTTCTGACAAAAGATAACAAAAAATGAGAATCCAAATTCTAATACAAAACATATGTAGGAAAGGACTAGAAAGGAAGAAAGGAACGAAAAAAAGGAAACATGCTAAAAATTGGAAAAGAATTGAAAGAGGAGCAGTTTAGTTCGGCTCCAAACCATTCAAGCAACCCGGATGCCACGCCTGTTCCAGGTTGCCGGCCCGCATCACATTGTAAACCAAACAAATAACTAAATTAAATTCTAGGTGAGGTCACGCAAAACAATCAAACAAACATCAATGAAACTCATCCAAAAGTAAGCCCCAATCACTTCCAAAAACTTGAATCAAAACTAATCAGCAACAAAAAGCTTGGAATTGACACTTAAATTGTTAAACAAAAAACTTGTAATAAAGAAAAGTAATTGGATTATACTAAGAAATAATACTAAACCTCCACATTGTATCAGAAAAATTCTGTTGCTGGTTGGGAAATGGAGAAGCAGGTGATGCATGAGCTAATATTCTTCTATGGTCATCCCTCAAATTAGTATGTTCAGTAATTTGCCCATCAATTGGGATTTGCTGATCAATGGAATTTGTTCGATCCTGAGTCAAAGTAAACAAAGGTCTCCGGCAAGTAGGACAGGAATACACCTCAGTCAAGCCTTGATCCAGCCTACCAAACACATGCCATAATATCGCAAATTGAGACAGTTCAGCAACGAAGGAGCGACATAATTTCAAATGAATATAGATAACATTGCAAAAAAAATTACTCTTATAAAATATGGGAATGCAATTAAAGCATAGAGGCACCAGCAAAATTAACTATGTTTTACATGATGTAACATGAATCCATAATAACTTCCCTATCATATATATATGTAATTGCACAAGTTCTAAGTTTGGTAGTGACAGATAAAGTGATCACCAGAAGAAACAACCAACGGATCTATTGAACTTTGCTAATTGATCAGTTTTATGGTGATAACTAACTAATACAGAGGGATGCAGCAGAAGATTGGTGAGCCTTAAATAGTTGAGGAGAGAAGAAGAAATCTGGGAAGCCAACCAACGAGAGAAACCAAGCACAGCCAAAAAGAAGCCATAGACCTTAATCTGGGAAGCCACCATGAAAAGCATCATTTTTATTAATAATCATAATTTCATAATTTGATTATTGCATGACCCAGAGACCTTATTGGAGAAAATCCTAGAATATGAGACAAACTAATTAAATTTATTCTAAATTGATAAATAATCATTTTATCCATTAAAACTAAAATAGAACTAAAAAAAAGAACAGATAAAACAAATCGAAAGATTATTTAACTAAATTCATGTTTCTCCTATATCATTCCTCCAAGGGTGGACAGAACTTCACTCTAGAGAGTTCAATTATTGCAGAGCAAAAGCTAAGGAGACCTATATTGCGTTGCCAAGATATTGAAATTCATTCAGTTCAGAAAACATCCGAAAGAAGAAAATATGTTTACTTTCCCATATTGAAAAAGAAGTAGGAGAAAAACAATGCCATCTGTAATGCATCCATTGAAAATAACAATAAGACTCTTCGAAAATTCAAGCTTCACTAGTAAAGTGGTCTTTTTTCAAGAATTATTGCATTAAATTGTATTAACTTTGAAAAAGGTATTTTAAAGGTGAACCGTTGGAAGGAGATCTATATACATTAATTTTATTTTGCTATTCTTTTCTCCCACATGGCTAGGTTTAAAGTTTAGGCTTTCATTTAAAGGATTTTGTTAGAGTTAGAGTTTTTATTGAGCAAAGAGGATTCAACTTACTTCTCTGAGAGAATGGTTTGGAGCTTCGCGTAGGGTATGAGGAGTAAATTTAAGAGGGACGAAGCGTCAGGTAGAGGGAGAGAAATGAGAAAGTTGGGTTAGAGGCATCAAGTAGAGACAGGTTAGGGGTGGTTTTTAATGTTCATTAATAGAGAAAATAGAGTTAAATGAGAAAGTGATAAAAAAACATTCTTTCCCCATTTTCAGTTCGAGATAGAAAAGGAGATGAAAATAATACTGAGAGAGAATAGAGGGAATTTACGGCATCACAGAAGTGTAATATAGAAAAACTAAGGGAGAGATAAGAGAACAAAGGATTTCAGATCCTTCATGCGATGAAGAAAAAAAGAATTATAAGAAAAAAGATACTCGACAGAAAGAGAAGGGGAGTTTGGCTGCTTCCACAATAAGTAAAGTAGAATAAAATTGGTAGGATGGGGTACTACCGAATTTAACCCAAATCATACTAGGAAAGATAATATTATTACTGGAAGCAAATACACGGTGACAATCATAAACACTTGAAAGAGAAAATACAATAAACACGGCGCGAACACACACTAAGGCTTGAATCATGGGAAGTGTAGGTCGGCTAGGTGGTTGGGGAGCGAAGGTAGGTGACTGAAATGGAATAGGAGGTTGGGACGAACAAAGGAGGGGCAGAAACCACGTTGGTAGCGAAGTGGAGGGCTTGGACAGCAAGGGCAGCAAGTGGGGTGCCGAGTGGAGTGGCGAGGCTGGAACAACCAGGGGCAGCGGGAAAACAATAAGTTTATTGTTTTCCAGATGACAGTAGCGAAGGGAAGAAATGGGTGGATTGCAGGACAGCAAGGGATGGCTGTCCGAGGTGGGGGCAACGAGCAAGAAGGGTTAGTATGGGAAGACTGTAGTAAAAACAACAAAAGCTATTGTCCTGAGAACGGCTATAGCAGAGAAGGACGACGTGGGGCGACAAGGTTCAATGAGAAAGATAAATCACCATCTCAAGAGCGAGATACAGTCAAAACACCACTTGACCCTTAAATACAACCCTAGAAGGAAAAAAAATGACACTGGTTACTTTACTGACAGAAACATTAGCCAAAAGCTAACCTAAAACGCAAGAAATAACATATAAATAGTCTTAGGGTTAAATAGTCTTAGGGTAAAAATAAGTGGGCCCGCTCCAAATAGGAAGGAAATCCACATGAAGGAATGGTCGACCAGGCCTCCTAGACCCATCCAAGCTGTCCTCACTCACAGCAGTTTAGGGCACTGTAGCAGCGTTGTATCAATGGTCACAAAAAAATGCTTCCTAATTGCTCTCGTGTCAATCTCCCTAGGTTGGGAGTTGAAGCATTTGTCTCGTCATGGTAGTCAGGTCAACCTTATTGAAAGTAGTGAAAATATTGCAAGCTCATATAGGCTTTTTCATTCTAAAGCACATTTTGATAGCATAAGTATCCATCCACTTTTGGCACAACTTGAGTTAGAGCTGCATAATGACAAATTTTCACGAGCCCAATCTTGAGCAATTAAATCTATAATCTACTTCTTTCAATCCTCATACTCGGCTGAATCTATCTGATAAACAAGTATGTGAAGAGAAATCAAATCTAGGATAACATTTGTGGGAGGCAGCACCACTCTCACTAGCAACAACTTAGGAGAGATATCTTCTTCTCTGATAGGACCTGGATCACATTGGAGAATTTTCTTCCCCATTAAGCTCCTAACACAATTTTCAAAGCTGTGGTTCATCCTTCATGCCTGGACATTTAATGGTGGGTACACTACTGAACTGAATTTAACATCTAAATAACTCCATGTAATCTTCCCGAAATGACATTAAAAGATTCTCATTTCTAACATGTTGGACCTCCCTCAGTAGGTACAACTCGGGAAGGAGTCTATCTATTTGAAAAGTCTGATTTTTTCTTATCTGAGATTGTCATGTCGGGTGTTCGATATTGATTCCTAGGACTTGGGACCATCTTGGACCACCAATGTAAATTCTATTGGAGTCTCCCTTGTGCCCTCAACTGGAGCAATGTGCTTTTCTTCCTTATCCATTGGAATTTGATCTTCCTCCTTTGTGTGTTGACTGTGTTGTTGTCCATTTCTTCAAACACTCCCTGCTCAGTGAAATATATCATCCCCTAGGTTGTGCATTTTGCTTAAATATGCCCAAATCCATAGCCCTTAAAACACTTCCTGACTAGGATAGATTTGGGAATGCGGATTGGTGCCCTTTGTTCTTCACTGTGAATTGGTGTCTCCTCAAGCGGAGTTAGCTTGGATGTTCCCCTATATGTACTCTGGATGTAAGGTCTTAGGATTGAATCTTGTCTGTAAGATGTGGTGGTCTACCGGTGACGTGGTGTCTCTACTTTTGAAGTCGGGGTCTAAACATCTGGTATGTAATGAGCTAGTAGGAGCTGACACTGCAGCTCTCATTTCATCTTGGACGAGGTTATGATATTGTCTTTTCCCTCACACTGGTGTAGGTGCTTCAGATTTTGACACCAAAATAATGCACTTTTCTTTAGCTTGCTGGCAACTAGTTTTACCATTCCGTCTGGTGGTACGTCATGACAGTTAAAGACATATTCTAAGATTTAGAGCTACTCGATGAACTCGTCTGGATACATGTGATATGGAAAATCCACCTTTACGTCAAAATTCTGACTTCTCTGATATTTTAGGTCACAATTTCTAAGTTGAGGTTTTTTATCCCTAAGATTCGCATGTGGAAGAGATTCACTCCATTCCTTCAATCTAGCAAGTCGCCCTTGTGGCTAACGGTGACCCATCCAATTTGCCTCCTCTCGACAGTGGCAAACCTTTGTTATAATTGGCAGATTTCTCGCTCCATATCCTCTCTAAAAATCTCATGGATGTCTCTTTATGAATCTCATAAACGACATCGTCTCATTTCCCCTCGATCAGGCCTCCGACGATTATCTCTTTAGCGACATGGCAAAGTTTTGGGTTTAGTGGGTAGGTGGAGGAAGGTAAAGGTGTTGTAGGGTGAGAAAGAAAAGTTTTATGTGGAGATAGGTTTGAGGTATGACGGATGCTAGAAATCCAAGGATAGAACAAGGGTTAGAGTACCTATGATACCAAATGATACCAGAGTTAATCCAAACCATATTAGAAAAACAAATATTATTACTGGAAGCAAATAAACAATTACAATAAACACATTTCAAAGGAAAAATATAACAAACACGACGCAGGCTCACACTAGGGCTCGACCCATGGATGGTGGAGGCCGGCTAGGTGATTCGGGAGCGAAGTAGGTGGCAAAAATGGGTATAGGTATGAAGTTGGGACGGGCTGGCAGAGATGTGGAGGGCTGGGATAGCAAGGGCAGCGAGTGGGGTGGCAAGCAGAGCGTCAAGGCACGGGTATGAAGTTGGGACAACCAAAGGTGGGGCTGGCAGAGATGTGGAGGGCTGGGATAGCAAGTGCAGCGAGTGGGGTGGCAAGCAGAGCGTCAAGGCACGGTAAAAAATGCTGGAACAGCCAGAGGATAGCAGAAAAACATCAAGTTTACTATTTTCCGGATGACTACATTGAAGGGCCAAAGCGGGAGAGAAGGGGGGGTGCTGCAGGACAGCAAGGGGCAGCTGTTCGAGGTAGGGGCAACGAGCAAGAAGGGCTGCAATGAGAAGACTGTGGTGAAAAATAGCAAAAGTTGTCGTCAAGTGGGCAGCTGTAGCAGGGAAGGACGTGGAGTGGTGGGGTGTAATGGAGGAAAGATAAACCATCACCTCGGGAGCGAGATGCAGTCGGAGCACCACTTAACACCAACGATTGTCCTGAAAAAAGTATGATCCAAAAACTAATCTTAAACACAAGAAAAAACATATAAATAGTCTTAGGGTAAAGATGAGTGGGCTCCGCTCTAAATAGGAGGGAAATTCACGTGAAAGAATGGCCGACATGCCCTCCTGGATCAGTCCAAGACGCCCTCGTTCGCGGGAGTTTGCCGCACTGTAGCAGCGTTGTAGCAATGGTTGCAAAAAAAATGCCTCCCGGTTGCTCCTGCGTCATGGGGCCAACCAATGCATGGGGAGTTTTGCAAAATTTTGACTTAAGTTCGAGGATTTTTTGTTCTAACAATTTGAGAAGAATATTGAGAACAAAATGCATCCATTATAGTGTTCAAGATTTTAAAAGCAAAAAAAACCAGATGCACATATCGTTTAGAAAATAATAAAATTCCATAGATTCCTTGAAACCATTCCTCAACATAACACTAATCAGTATTATCGATAATGATGATTCCCAAACAAAGTTGGACTCTGATGCCACTCCATGTAAAGAGATGTGGAAAGATTGAGAAAAGCTTCAATAGTTGAAGAGTTAAAAAGAGGAAAGAACCTAACACAGCATAAAAGAATGAAGTTGTTGTACAAAAGTATCATATAACTCAATAATTATAATCTTATAGTCTGGTTATTATGACCTTTAATTTCTAGTTAAGAAGATCCTACACAATAAAACTGAAAATCTCATACTAAATCTCTCAAATGATCATATTTCCATTATAATTAAAATAAAGGATTAGAAAAATGAATAAAAAAAAAAAAACCGATGAAATTCAACTAAAATTCAAGCATGGCCTACATCACTAAAGCTAGATAACTCAAGTGAAGATAATTAGAAAAATAAATAAAAAAAAAACGATGAAATTCAACTAAAATTCAAGCATGACCTACATCACTAAAGCTAGATAACTCAAGTGAAGATGAGGTAACTAGTGACAATCCCACGAAGTAGCCAAGCCAACCACAATTTAAGCAAGCAGGTCACATTTTACACAGATGATTTTGGCACCAGTAATAACTTTCTGACCTCGAAATGCAAAATCAACGCAATTTTGGCCAAAAAAACATATGCAAAAAAAAATTTGACACTCCTAGTTATATCAAAAAACAGCCATTGAATCATTTATGGCTCAGCTAAACTCGAGCAACAAAATAATGTTTGTAAACCAAGATAGGCTGACCACAAATTATAATTATATAATTTAATTAACACAAAAAAAATGATCATATCTTGCAGATGAATGCATTTGTGTTGCTGGCTTCTCCTTAAGTCATTTCAGTTCATTAAAGAAAAAAATATGAATAGAGTAGCACAAATAAATAGTAAACTGGATGATTTAAACCTAGCTTAAAGTTCAGCTAAAGACAACAGAAGACAATAAAAGCTTTTGAGTTTCAGAAATCATATTTGATGTCTAACAAGAAGCAACGTGCACAAGAAACATAACATACCAGGATCTTAAGCACGCAAGATGAAAGAGATGATTGCAGGGTAGCTTTTTAGCCCTGGCCATTGGTCCCTACAATTTATCAGATCAATTAATCCAGAAGGAAATCGATAAGATAAATCTGGAAATATATGGATGAAATACTTACTCTACAAATTGCACACTCATCATTAAATTCAGAGAGCTCTTCAGTTGTAGCGTCAGGAAGGGATCCGTCTAGGGAATTTAATGCCTTCTTCAACTTGATAAATCCTTTCACCCGCTTAACCAATGCACTTAAAATAGCCTGTTAAATTATTTATAGAAATTTACAGTCAAAAGGATATTCCTTTTTTTTGGGGGGGGTGGGGGCGATTCCAAACAAGTATTATATATATGCGGTCAAAGAATGGGACAAGTAAATGAAATAATTTTAAAAATCAAAGTATAATATTTACACGCAGGTTCAAGAAAAGAATAGCATCCACAAGGTGAAATGCCATGCCATGAAGCCACCATATTATCACGTAATGACCTACTCCCATCAATAAAGCCATCACGTCTAAAAGAAAACCACAATTTCGTATAAGTTGTCCTTTCAACTCTGTCAAAGATCCTGCAGCAAAAGTTTTTACCTGACAAATTATAGCAGCTGAAATTTCTATTAATTAAAACTTGGGAAATGACAATATTTTCTGCACGATAGCATTATAACGGAAAAAAAAAGCACATAAGAAAACGTAGCAAAAATTTACTACATTTTTACAATATCAAAAGGTTATAACAGACAACAAAATTATAGTTAAGCCATTCAGCTTCCGAAGCTAATATTTTTTAAAGCACATAAAAAATAAGTTTACAAACTTCAAATGAAAGAAATAAAAGAAGTAATTTCACTCTGAATGCAACAAAACAATCTATGACGATCTCTCATGTCTGCTTTGTATGGATGTCTATCAGAGTTATATACCCCAGAATTATTTGAAAAAGTAACGTAAGTCTTAAGTTTTTTCCTATCATAGCCAACTAGCCAAGCCATGACATTACTAGTTTAATGTTCGATAAAAATGATGACATTAGAGACTAGTCCTAATATTAGACCATAACCATAACTATTTATATCTGTATCAAATGTGGGATTCTATTTATAAATAAAAGAAGCCTGGAGATCTATTTGTAAATGTTGTATGGCTCGATATAAGCCAAAATATTAATGAAATGATGAAGTTTAATTGCAAAATCATTCCTACTTGGTATCAGAGCCCTAACCTACCGCCTCTAGCTTGATCTAGACTTCTTCGGCGTCGTCTTCTCCGCGACCAGTAGGATCGGAATCATCTTTTCAGTTGTGAGCTGGGAACGCGAACGACAAACGAACAATGATTAGTAGGATTGTCATCATCCTTGCAGTTGTGAGCTAGGACTGCAAATGAAAAGCGAAGCGGGATCGCAAACGAGCTGGGAGTTGGGATCGCAAAGCAACTGTGACCACAACTCGCTCTGGGAAGGCAACGAGAGGATCGCGGCTCGCTAGAAAGGATCGTGGCTCGCTAGAAAGGATCGCGGCAGAGAATCCTCGCGATACAGTTGTTGGGAAGGCAACTATGGGATCGCAGATTGAGGCTTGACGTTGTAGAGACAAAGCGAATGGGAAAACAACAATGCGGCTTCAATGTGAGGAGGATGCAGCGAAGCAAGCTGTTCGAACGTCTTTTGTTTGAGCATGAGGGTTACTGCTCGATACAATGAAGACGAAGCGAAATGAAAAACATTAAGCCTTCAGTGTGAGGAGAAAGCAGTGGAGAAGGGGCTTTGTGCGGTGTTTCTGTGCGATTCCAACAGAAGAGCGGCGAACAGCTTGAACTGTCAGAGTGAATAGAAATGTGCAATCGATTTTGTGTGGCGTGCGATTGACAGAGTCATGTGAGGGAAGCAGACAAAGCTGGTTGGATTGTGTCGTAAGAGACAACGACTACTGCTTCGGTCAGAAGAGTTAAAGAAGGGGTGTGAGACATCTGTGGCTCTAGGGTCGTGCGAAAAAATTTGTGAAAACAGGGAAGAACGACGAGGAATTGACTGCAACGAGCTCAGGCATGACAAGTAATCAGAGGGTGACCCACAGGTTCTACAACTGTGGACAAGTGCGACACCTGAGCAAGGCTTGTCCAAAGCCACCCAAGGAGAGAGAAGTGTGGATGTGGATCGTCTATAGGGGGCTACCGGGCAAATCTAATGGTAGCAAAGAACGAGGGAAAGACAAGGGTGGTCTTTATCGATGAGGATCGCAAGTTTTTGGAGATGTTAAAGAGAAAGCAGAGAGCGGCATGTGATGTCACTGAGAATATATCCACCTTATCGTTCTCCAAGTAAAACACTACTAGTTATGCTCACTCAGCCAAAGGTGCTCGAGATATACATATTCTTGCCTCTATATCCACCCCAAGTTCACCATAATGGATAGTAGATTCTGGTGCATCTTAGTATGTAACAGGTGTCTCTAGTGAATTCTGTTCCTATATCCACCTAACAGTTCTAGAAAGCATCTAGACCGCTGATGGGACGACACAGCCTGTGATTGGTATGTGTACACTGAGGTGTACCAATTCTATGAATTTGTCTGATGTTTTGCATGCTCTTTCCTTTCTAGTAAACCTTTTATCCATTACTTCTATTATACTAACTAAAATGTGTTGCTTCATTTGATATTCCAAAATTAATTGTCAAGAGAATGGGACTGGCCGGAAATTTAGGACGGCCACGTGGCATAATGGACTCTGGTACTTATAGACAGAGAAGGATGGACTAAACCTTGACATCAATGGTTGAGAATGCTGGAGCGGGAGTATTTGAGGGGAGTGTGGAGGATGTATTGTTGCTACATCAAAGGCGCATAAGACACTCTTTGTTTGGCCTATTGAGTTGTTTGTAACCATCATTGTATGAAAAGACAAATAAAAAAAAATTTCTGCGTGATGCTTGTAAGTTTGCCAGGCCAGGAGCTCTTATGTTAGTTCTGGTAAAAAGAGTTCATATATTTTTGATTTTGTGCATTCAGATGTATGGGGATCTTATTCTACAACTTCGATGAATGGTTATAGATATTTTGTGACTTTCATTGATTGTTTTGCTCACGTTATTTGGTTATAGCTGATTAGAAATAAAAGTGAAGTTCTTGCCTGCTTTAAAGACTTTCACAGGGCGATTCAGACTCAATACAGTATTCTAGTGATGGTATTGGGGTTTGATAATGTAACAGAGTATACTAACAAAATGTTTGGGAAAACTTGTCAGTCGAAAGGATACATTATCGAACATATTCATACACACCGACAAAAAACGAAATGGCCGAAAGGAAGAATAGACATCTTCTAGAAGTAGCTCAAAATATGATGATCACGATGAATGTCTCAAAGCACTTGTGCGGACAAATAGTTTTGATAGCAACTCAATTGATCAACAGAATGCCCTCGAGAGTGTTGGATTGGAAGTCTCCTTGTCAAATGTTGAAAGAAAATAATAGAATAATAGTAGAATCCTTCCATTTGTTGGATTGGAAGTCTCCTTGTCAAATGTTGAAAGAAAATAATAGTAGAATCCTTCCATTGAAGTTATGTAGATGTATATGCTTTGTGAAAAAAACACAGTCAATTGTAGAGAAATTGAATCTCAGAATTGTGAAATGTGTGTTTGCGGGGCATTTTGCTACTCGGAAGAGTAGTGACGTATGATGTATCATTCAGAGAGTTTGAACCATACTACTCTTTGGAGGTGGATTCACCCTTTGGTGACTCAACAACCACTGAAGATAAGAGGCAAGAGAGTCTGTAGTAGTAGTAGTAATGGAGTGGTGTAAGTGGGAGAAATACCATGTCCTGTGAAGTGGGATGAATCAACAGAGGAGATAAAAATCGAGAAGATTAACCCCAGTGATGGTGGGATTTAGATTGAAGGTGAGCTAAGGTTGTATATGCGAAGGAAGAAGCAAATTGAGGGAACAGATCTTGCAATGCCAACAAGTCCCTTGTCTTGGTCTTCCTCAACTCTTGCTACACTTACACCATCCACCTTTGATTCAAAACTCCCAGGTGAAATCATTCGTCCTCCATCTAATCCTACCCCCCCAAAGTTAAGAAGGATCTCCCGCAGCTATATGGGACATACTCCTAATCGTTTTGAGTGGGAACTTGACATTGAAAACTTTGTTTCTTCTTCTAACAATTCACCTATAAATGAAGCATTTATTGCATCAATAAACGTTTGTTTGTGTCGTTTTATGTCTTGCACTATTATTTCTGTTTGAGTCATGATGTAATCTTATTTTAATGTTAATGAAAGATTGTTTTTGGTGTTTCTACTGTTTCACCTACTAGTTCTAGTATCAATATATTTCATATTATGAATAAACTTACTGGTTGGAATCAAATTGCAATTCAATTATAGAATATATAAAATGGATGAAAGAGTAATATCCTGAAATAAATTCACATCTTCTTTCCCAGCAATATTTGAGTGTGATCCATCTAAAAGTCTTCCTGATCTAGATGTAGAACCTCTTGATATTGTACTAGAGCATTGATATCTCCAATCATACGTTCAAAGGCTCCTAAAATTTATGATCCAATTTATGAAGCTCCCATTACTAACAAGATGGGAGAATCATATATTATCTTGATGTGTCACGAGGATTGTGGGTTGCTTTGAATTGCTTCCAAGGAGTTTCTTCAATACTTGAAGATGTTCCTTGTACATAGTTCAACTGATCCTTCGGATGTGGTAGCAACATTAACTTTTTTCTCTTGATCTTTCATTCCCCGTCCATATTTCCAGTCAGCAAGCTTTACATGAAAGTTCCAACATTTATCTTTGATATGCCCAATTTTCTTGCAATAATCACATGTGGGATGGTCCTTCTTCTGTTTTGAGTCATTGGAGGAGTTATGGGTGTACAAGGCTGAACGTTTAGTAGAATGTTAAATACTTGGTGAACCCCCATTTACGATCAACATCAGCTTCTTCCTGCTCTCTGCTCCCTTGACCTCAATAATGGCTTCACAGGGGGATGAAAGAGGCTTTATTCTTATGATCCTCTCTCTCATCTAATTCATGAGCTAGTCCTACTAGAAATTTAATGGTGATCCTCCCTCTCATCTCATCTAATTCATTAGCTAGTCCTACTAGAAATTTAATGGTTATCTTTTTCTCGGTGATAGATTTAAACTTCAAGGCATCATGTGGACATTTTCATCACGTGTCTTAAACATATCTAATTATAACTAATTACTTTATCAGTGTTGAATTATTAGGTGACACTTAACTCTCCTTGAAGATGATCAAGAAGTTTGGATTCGATCCCAAAGAACTCTGCAATGTTCTCACTCCCAAATTTCTTTGGCAAGTTTGCATATAGCAAAAAATTCTCTCTCACTTTAGTTGTCATTGAGTTGACTAAACATGACATAAACATATGGTTTCAATTCTTCAACGTGCGATGGTTGGGGTCAGTGATCTCAGAAACCGTGCCCTTTCCCGTGAGATGTTCATTTTTGCCTTTACCACAAATGCACATAAACATGAATTGGGGCCATGAAAGATAGTTATAATCATTGAGTTTATGAT